TTCTTCTAACATGTAGCAGGCTTATCTTTTTTAATGAATTGACATATATTTTTAAGTGTCTGCTTTTTCATTTCTAATTATTAATAGGTATAAGCCATGTAACTAAAATCTCTTTGGAGTACTTAATACTTTTTTAAGAGTGTAAAAGTCTGCTGAAGCAAAATGTGTGAGGAATACTAAGGTGGAGTGTAAGAAAATGACTCTGGGTAACATTTTAATTTCTCACTCACATTCCCTGAGGACGATCTCACAATCATGGCCAAACGTCACGTTGGAGCATGAAAGACAAAGGTTAACCTTGCTGTGTTGAATGTCCCTGGGAATCCCTGTTGATGATGGTGGGGATCATTAATGGACTTCCTGGAGATCCACAGGAAGTGACTCTCCCTTTCCAGCAAATCCTCTGGTAAAATCCTCAGGGCATTTATTCTCTGAAGGCCTAAATACTTCTAGAACTGGGGCATAAGGTACTTTGATTTTGTGATACTCCAGGATGTCAAAAAAAGTCTCAATGGATGATTATTAAAAAATGAACTTTTCATCCATTAATTTGCTTCAGCTTTTCAGAAGTTTATAAATAGTGAACTCATGATTCCTTTTTTAGAGATGTGTGTATATGAGTACATATATGTATGTGTATAAATGTGTCTAAAATTTACTAGCTGAGGGGTATGAACCTTTAAAATATTAAAAGGCCTCCCAGGGGGAAAAAAAAAAAAGCCTTCCCTGGCTGTAGGGACAATGCTTATGATAGGAACTAACATAATCATTACCGAAGCATACCTGTTACACTTTCCCTTCAGTTCTACCACTTTATTCTTTTGTTTTTCCTCTTCCTTCTCGGTGAGGTTCTAGCTCAGTACCCTTATTGTAACTGACCTCCTCAGGCTCTGTCCATTTTTATTAAGCACCAAAATGTCAGCTAGTTAGCCAAAAGATGTTGCTGAACTCGGCACGGAGCATCGCACAGACATATGCAAAGGTATTCAGGAGGAAGGGAAGCCTCATACTGAGCCAGGAGCAGGTCACAAGGAGTCAGAAAGCCTCTCTTTTTGTCACTGCCTGCAGACTCCTGCATTTCCTTTTAGAGACAAAATGCCTTCGGTTTCAGGGTGAAAACATGGGAGGGTGGAGAGCGGAGATTCAAATACCTTCCATGTGATACTAGAGCGTTGGGATCTTACTGTGAATGAAGAAATCCAGGATCAGCTCAGTAGGGATCAGGGAGAGGCTGGCGGAGGCCCCTTCCGTGGAGAAGGGAGGTGGAGGATTCAAGGGCCAGAGACACCAACATCAGTTTGCCCAGGCGTCCGTGTAGGGTGGAGGCAAGTGTGGTGCCAGCTAGCAGCGGGTTTGAATCCCCATTCTCCCACTCACTTACCAACTGGGTGACTCGAGGCGATCTACTTAATCTCATGGAGCATCAACCTGCTCATGTAGTAAATGAGGACAGTCGTACCTCCCTCGCAGGGTTGAGTGAAGATTCAGTGAGAGCAAGCGTGTGACATGCCTGGAACACAAGCGGTGTCCAATAAGTGCCAATTTCCTTTCTCTGTTTTAGCGGTTTTTACATATGTTTTTACATAAGTTGCCTTTTGAATGAACAAATGGGCCCATTTTAAAATTTTTTATTAAACTTTTTATAAGATCCACTGGAGAAGGGCATGGCAACCCAATATTCTTGCCTGGAGAATCCCATGAACGGAGGGGTCACAAAAAGTTGGACATGACTTAATGACTAAACAACAATAACAACATAGCTGATTAACAATGCTGTTAATAGTTTCAGGTGAACAGCGAAGGGACTCAGCCATACCTATACATGTATCCATTCTCCCCCAGACTCCCGTCCCATCCAGGCTGCCACATAACATTGAGCAGAGTTCCCTGTGCTATCCAGTAGGTCCTTGTTGGTTATCCACTGTAAATATAGCAACGTGCACGTGTCTATCCTAAACTCCCTAACTATCCCTTCCCCCGGCAACTATGAGTTCCTGTCTTGTAAATAAGTTCATTTATATCATGTCTTTTTAGGTTCCACCTATAAGAGATGTCATATGATGTTTCTGCTTCTTTGTCTGACTTACTTCACTCAGTCTGACAACCTTTAGGGCCCATTTTATGGGGAAATAATCGGACATTTTCTAAACTCTTCCCCACATCCTAATGAATTTACCTGTTTGAAGACGTTTCATAGTGTCAAACAGAGTCCACTGTGAAAAGCTTTCTTTTAAAAACGGGGAAAGAATAGAGTGTCCATTCTCTTCTCCTGTCTTCACGGTCAGTTGTGTCTTCCAGAAATTCCAACAAGTTAGTGAGGCCTGACCTTCCTCTTTTTCTTCTTCCCTTTTTGTAAAGCATGCCAGCAATCTTTAATCATGCTGCGATTTCTAAATGCCACCCAGGTTCACTTCAGAAGCAGTTTCAAACAAAGATTTAACCCACAGACACACAAATGGCTGATTTGTGCGTTCCAGAGACTCAGAAGCTTTTTGTTTCTTAAAAATTAATATGTTTCAGTTTTCTCTTTTTACTTTCATATTCATTTCCAGAGAGAGAGAGAAGCATTTTCTTTTGTTATAGACTTTCATAAAAATTCAGTGCTAATTATAGAGGGTTTTTGGTACTGACTCTTTGTTGAGGTGATTAACATGCAAAGCATTTTACAACACTGTTTTCTCCTAAAAGAAGCGTGGATATGTAAACAGAGTTGACCTCTTAGCTCCTTCCTAGGTCACCCAGTTTTCCCCTGATTAAAACTAATTTGCTGGAGAAGTTCACTGTTGGAAATGAGACGATTTGGAAAGGAAGATTAGTAAAGAGAAAAGGAGCTGAACTATTGCTCTAAATACTATTAGAGATCTTGCTGTTCATCCACCTTCTGCCCACATGCTGAAAATAAGCCATCCAGTCACTTTTGTTAGAAGACGAGGACAGTTAAGAGAGTTAGAACCAGTCAAATGCATACGGACACAGCCAAGACGAAAACATCCAACAATCAACCCCCAAAAAGTCTAGAGGAAGGGCTTTCATAAGAAACATGAGGAGAACTTAGAAAAGAAAAATGCCCATTAGATTGTTTCTGTCAACATTTTCCTGCCCTATCTGCTTTGATGTGGCAATGATGATACCAGAAATGATGGTGAGGAAAGACCACAGCACTGTGAACCCAGCAGGTAGAGATGGTGGCCGGTCTTAGGATGAGTAATATAGTAAATTAAGCTGCAGAATAAATACAGCAACCCCAGAGATGTATAGGAAGTAAAAAAATGGTGAAAGTATCACTGAAATGAGTTCTCTATTTTTGAATGGCATTTGTTGATTAAAAAAAAAAAACCCAAAAGCAAAAAACAAAACTGGATCCTTTTATTTGATGAAATATTTACAATGAGAAGCTCTTTATTGTTGAGACCCAAGATGGCTAGTCCATTTTGCTTTACACATTCCCCACCCACCCCCACCCTGCCACCACTTTCCTGAGCAATGGTCAGATGGAAATGCTGGAGTGAACTGAAAAGTACAATGCACAATCAGACAAAAACATTCAACGCAGCATTTGATGATGAAGGCATAATCAGCCGGACTTGGTGCCTGATGTGGCCAATTTGCTTTTACATTCTTTTCAGATCCCCAGTGCTTGCAGTGGAAATACCCCTCAAGCATTCCTCTCTCTTTCTCTTTTTTCCTCCCAGTAGGTTGCATGCCTCTTTCACCTTGTGAGAAAAAGGTCTGTCTGCTTTGATGTGGCTTCCCAAAGTGTAGTGGGAATATCCTTTTATTTGTTGAACTTTCAGGGTTTCTTCTTCATCCCGCCCAATGCGCTGTGTGAAAGAACATACTGCAAATAGCCATCCATCACTTTACCTCGTCATATCATTGTGCCTTATTTCTTGTCCTCTAGGTCAGTGAAAATGATGATCTGACCGAGACCATAATCATTGCTGATCAGTACTTGGCCTCCTGCAGAGGTCCATGCAAGCACATGGGCTTTTTCTAAGACGCCACTGAGCAGATATCAGATGGAGCTCCCTCCCCCATCACCTTCTCACTGCTGAAAAACTTAATAACTTGGTATTGTTCAGCGAGTCATTCAAGCGAGCAGAGTGGAATTCTACCTGTTCCTCAAGGTAAAATATCTGCTAGGCTGCTGCAAAGACTGTTAGCCATTCACAGCTCTTGCTGTGTGTAAAACTCACATGGTTAGGTGAATGCAAACCTTGAGTGAAAGCCTGGTAACTTCCTGTGTTTGTCTGAAATCAGGCACAAATGAAGCCAGTGCACAAAGCAAAGCTCAGCAAATACACTCCTTTTTTCAGTGGCCATTTTCTAATGATATTTTTTTTTTTTTTTTACCCCCACCAGGAGAGAAATGATTAGAACAGATTAGAAACACAAAGAGCTGAAAACTTTAAAGGAAACTTTCCCAGATGCTACACAGTTTCATAAAGGATCACAGAAAGGTTTTTTGCAAACATTGGTTGTAATTTCTACCAGGTGTCACAACCCAGTGAACCATTAAAAGTGAACCGGCTCACTGAACCGAACTGAACAGATGGAATTCCACCCTTGCTCTGCTTGAAAAGCTCCACGAACAATACAAAGTCTTCTTTTAAGTCCCCTCCTCTTAGAGGCCCACCTCACCCATGAGAACATGTGGGGAGCACTCAGGATGGGACACAGCCTCTGGGCTCTTAGTTCAAGCAGAAGGGAAAGCAGTCCATTTTAAAACCCTCGGGGCCACCCCCATCATTTTCAAAATCCCAATGCTACTTTCCGTTTGTCCCCAAATGTATGTCAGTAGTTGAACGTCTTGTTCTCTTTTAATTTTGTCCTGAGTTGTCATTTACTTTCCTCTGTCCAGATATAGATATACCTTGAAAGACTGTGTGTGTGTGTGTGTGTGTGTGAGAGAGAGAGAGAGAGAGATAGGCCTGAACAACATGGACTAGTGTGTTATTCTCTTTGCCTGACTTTATTATTTAATTTTCATTTCTTTTCAGGAAGTGAAGATGCATTCCAGAACACAAAATGGATTTCAGTCCTTTGTTGGCTTCTCGAATCCTGACAGCACAGGCAAGGTAAATTGATATAGATGGTTATAGACATGCCCTGCTAGTCAAAGTGCCAAAGATCTTCTTAAGGGACCAAGAGATCAAAAGACTATTTGCAGTCAATTCATTAAGCATTAGTCAATCAATTAGTTAATTCAATATATATGTATGAGGACTAACTGCTGTCAGACATTATATTGCATGTTGTGTGGGATCCAAATTGGAATGAAGTGTCTGCTTTCCAGAAGATGGTAATTTAGAAGCGATAAGCTAGTCAGAGACCCTTATGAATTTGAAAATACATGCCATCCAAGTGGCTCGTTGATTTCTATACTCCTGCTTACTGTTCTCTTTCGAGTCATAACTGGTGCCATGGTCTGTTGGCATGTGATCAGCATGTCAATATCTTTAGTATTGGGATTTCGTAGTGAACGCTATTTTTCAAGGCTCATGTTTTGTAAAGCTTTGAACTGATTTTGCTTCTTTGAAAATTAGACCATTTCTTCAAAGCATGTTCTAATAGGGTTGAGGAGACAATGGACCAGAGATAAAGCCAGAGGGGCCAGGACTGGGAGTTTGGGTAAGCACAAAAGGTACTGGCAGGTGGATTGTTGATTAATTCCAGAGAGGTCAGCTGAGGGAGAGATTTGCAAGTAAGAGGACCAGAAACCAGGGAGATAGGCATTAGCGATCAGAAACTGAGGTTAGGATTCCGGAACACACAAGGTCAGGGGGTGAAAAAGAAGTTTTTGGCAACATGGGGTCATGAGTCCAGGTCAAAAACCCCCAACAACAACAGATTAGGAGCCATTCAAAAGGTCTGAATAATAGGCATAGGATGTAAACAGAAAGCATGAGTATGATGCTGAATGAGTCTGTAGCTCTCAGTCCTTTGCACGCCTCTGAACTAAGGCTAGAGTTGGTTAGAGGGATAAGCATGTCTGAGATGAAGATAAAGAATAGAGCTGAGAATTAAGTATTTCGTGAGAGCATTAAAATCCAGTGTTGGGAAGCCATTGGCAAAAACTGAATTTCTGAGTTTACACTCCTAGAGATTAAATCTACCATTTAATGTTTATATAGTAAAACACAGTACCGAAGTACAGTCTTTAGCATTTGTATATTTGAGTTTCAGTCTCTTGTGCTACTTATTAGCTACAAGAACTTGTATGAAGTACTGAACCTCTCAAAGCCATGGTTTCTTCAAGTGTAAAATAACAGTGACTCCTAGTTTGAGTGTAAAATATTCAGCATTGAGAAATAACAGATGAAAAATGATTACTTGTAGACATTATTTTTATCATCACAATCCTCTTTAATATGGACCTGGATTTTTTATCCAGGAATTTAATCCTTTTCCCTTTCAGAATGCAATATTATATTCTACAAGGTTAATAGTTTGACTATTCCTGTTGATTTTTTCTTCCCAGTGACTCGATCTTCTTCAGAAAGTTTTTGATTATTTTGTCTATTAGGCCTGAGAAACAGCAATAATACTTATGAGGAAATATATTTTAATGTCCTATATAAAATGTATAATATACTTTAAAAACTCTATGTAAAATCTTTCTAAGTTCACACTGACCGGTGCCTATCTAGTAGCACTGACTAAAACACCAGGAGTTGGAGAGTAAGTCTAGGGATAAGAAAATCTAAATCTTTCTCTATCTTACTCTAAGTATGACTCATCATGAGGCAAACATTTTACATTGTCACTACCCCAACACTACACAAAAACCCTTATAGGATTCTATGGATTTCCTATGTAGAAACAAAATTAATTAGATTTTCTTCTGTGTATGTACATGGTCTGGACTTAAAACAAATAGATGCTCAACTGTGGAACAGTTCAGAATGTATTCTGATTTAAATCCTATTTTAACTATCCCCATGAATTATTATGTGCTTAGTCATTCAGTAGTGTCTGACTCTTTGCAATCCCATGGACTTGTAGCCTGCCAGGCTTCTCTGTCCATGGGTATTCTCCAGGCTAGACTATTGGAATAGGTTGCCATGCCCTCCTCCTGGGGATCTTCCCAACCCAGGGATTGAACCCAGATCTCTCACATTGCAGGCAGATTCTTTACTGCCTGAACCACCAGGGAAGGCCATGAATACTGGAGTGAGTAGCCTAGCCCTTCTCCAGAGATTCTTCCTGACCCAGGAATCAAAACAGAGTCTCCTGAATTGCAGGGGGATTCTTTACCAGCTGAGCTACCAGGGAAACCCTGGTAAATTGAATTGTTACAGGAAAAAAAAAAAAAACCACACATACACACAAACAACAAAACAGCCCCAAGTGGAAGACTCCTGAGGCAGAAACTGACAGGTACCATTATAAAGAAGAAAAAAATCAGTTTTCTTCCCTCTTGTTATTAAGCTTCCATAATACTCTATTTAAAATATTAAAACCACATCCAATAAAGGGCAACATACTTGATTTCTAGCCTAGATCTGAGCCTTCATTTCTTGAGGGAAAAAAAATGCTTTTTTGGCTGCACTAGGTCCTCCTTGTGGCTCACGAGCTTTTTCTGGTTGCGGCTCACGGGCTTAGCTGCCCCACAGTTTTGTGGGAATCTTAGTTTCCCAACTGGAGATCAAACCCGAGTTGCCTGCATTGGAAGGCGGATTGTTAACCACTGGACCACCAGGAAAATTCCCTTGAGAAATGTTTTTGAATGAGACTGTCTCTTTTTCTATCATGTTTGCTTGCACTCTCATTCTTGCTACTTATCCACTTTCACTGCCAGATCTTCAATAGCATTATTCAAACCCAATTCAGAAATACACTTCTTATTTGTATTGCCTATATGTTGGTGTTAACATGGCGTGTGAGATTAACTTGGATGCTGGTGACCATTGTCCTGAAAGGCCACTGTCATGAAAACTACCATCGGTCTGTGATTGGTTTCACAATCAGGCCGAGTTAAAAAATTCACTCATCTATTGATTAACTAAGGTGACCTCAGAATTTTCTACTTAGAGCACAAGGGAGCTGTATTAAACTGGTTGCTTGGGTTTGTTCTCAGTGCTTGAGTTGGCAATATCTTGGCAGTTGTAGATTTTCCCCACCCCACGGACTTGGAACTGAAGGGTCAACTTAGTGAGAAGTCTCAGGTCTACATTCGGGTTTGGTGCTGCTACTGCAGGGTCTAAGGGTGGATGGCCATCTGTGAGGGAAGGAGGCGGTTGTACTGTGCTCAAACCACACTCTACTACGCAGTGTTCCTTCCTAACACATCTTACAGTTGCAACAGTAAGCTAGACCCATGGTGTTGGTTCTGGAATCTCTACTTCTTTTTAAAAATGTTTATTTGTTTAATTTCTGGCTGTGCTGGGTGTTCATTGCCGTGCAGACTTTTCTCGTTGCGACATGTGGGGGTTCCTCTGTAGTTGCAGTGTGCAGGCTTCTCACTATGATGACTTCTCTTGTTGGGGAGCACAGGCTCAATAGTTGTGGCACATGGGCTTAGTTGCTCTGCAGCATGTGAGATCGTCCCAGAACAGGGATTGAACCCATGTCTCCTGCATTGGCAGGCGGATTCTTCACCACTGAGCCACCAGGGAAGCCCCTAGAATCTCTACTTCTAATCCCTCATTTGCTTTCTTCAAGTTCAGATATTGTCTCTCTTGCAAGGCTCTCTCATGCACCCATTTGTTTCAGCTCTGAACAAATTTAGTTGCACGTTTCTCTGTACTTTGGTAGCAGTTATTTATGAGTCTTTCTCCTCCACTCATCCGTAAACCTCTTCACAAAAGGTTCTATCTAATCTTAATCATCTTTGGAAGGCAGAGTAAGTTAGTGGTTAAGACTATGGACTCTGGAGTTACAAGGTTTGGGTAAAACTTCTTCCTCCACTTACTATGTGATCTTCAAAAAGATGTTGCAGCAACTCTGGATGATAGTTTTATTACCTGTAAAATGGCTGTTTGTTACCCTATAGATGTTGCTTTCATAATTTAAAGAAATCCACATAAAGCACCTGGTGCATATTGGCTTAACAACCGTGAGCCCTGATCCACCATATTGTTTTACATACTTGGCGCTCAGCCATGTCTGGCTTTCAGCGAGGCTGTAGTTCATGTTTGTTTCCCTTCGCTTGTATCATCCTTAAACTATGACTTTAAGAGGCAGCTTAGAACTTCCCTGGTGGTGCAGTAGATGAGAATCAGCCTGCCCATGTTGGGGACATGAGTTTGATTCCTCATATGGGAATATTCCACATGCCACGAAGCTGCTAAGCCAGTGTGCCGAAGCTACTGAGCCTGCACTCTAGAGCCAGGGGGTCACAACTACTGAGCCCATCTGCTGCTACTACTGAAGCCTGCAAACCTGGAGCCTGTGATCAGGAGCAAGAGAAGCCAGTGCAATGAGAAGCCTGCGCACTGCAATGAAGAGTAAGCCCCACTTGTTGCAACTAGAGAAAGCCCAAGCATCGCGATGAAGACCCAGCATAGCCAAAAATAAATAAATATTTTTAAAAAGAGGCAGCTTATGTATTTCTTTCACCAAAGGATGGCAAGGACTGAGGACAGAAACTTCCTGTGAAAGACAGTGGAAAGGAAATGAAAACTGAACACTAAAATTGAACTCGTATTTAATACTGCCATGAATATCACCAAGCTAAGAGATCGGGAAGTTATAGACCCTCAGTCCCAACTTTTGGATGGCTTCTCATTAACTATAGGAATCTAGAATCATCTTTTGACTTTTTTTTTTTTTTTGGTATCTCAGTTTTAATACACACAAAAACAGACAATGAGTGCTAACTTGTCTTCTCTAGATGTAAGAAAATAGAGCACCACACTCAGCCACCTTTATTACCAGGCCATTCTCGCTCCTGCAGCAGGGAAACTGAGATACAAGTCTGGGGACTTGATCAAGGTCACAGCCAGTGGCAGAGCCAAATTAAAATTCATGTTCTCAGAGTCCTTTCCACACCATTGCTTCACCTACTGACCCATGGTGCTCCACCAAGAAGTACTTCTGATTAAGTGAACTTTCAGGTTTCAATAACACAAAACCTTGGCAAGGACTTTAGGTAACAAGCTCCTATCATAGACTCCGGTTACTTTTGGGCAAGAACTGGCTGTCTCATATATACATTGACTTGATTACCTCATACAGGCCAATACAAGAGAGTGGTGTGTTTTCAGTGTTGAACGAAGACTTCAAGAGCTTAATAAAATCTTTCTTTGAAAAATAAGGAGGACACGTGAAAATGGGGACAGATGACTTCCTTATCAACTGTACCGTCTACTATCAGGGACACAACTCTGTTTGGTCTTTGCTGTGGTTTCATAGCCTAGCACAGTGCCTGTGTATGATAATTCAATTGATATGGAATAAATGAATGAATACATGGAAACATCAATACTTCAGATATAGTTAAATAGCTTCCAATACTCTAGTACAACATTACTCATGCTAATATGGTGGATTTTCCCATATCCAATGTTTTTTTTAAAAGTTGGTGTGTTTATATGTAATAGGGTGTTAAAATTTAAGTTTTGAGCAAGGCTCCACAAGACAATAGATGTGGCATAGCAAAGTGAGGTGCTGGATCAAAATATGTATGTATTAAAGCAGGAGATTAAGAGCTGGTTTCACAAACTTGGAACCTGTACCTAGCGGGATACCAACCTGCATGGAGGATGTAACAATCTTAAGAGAGAGGATAGGAGAAAGTATTTTGAGGACGGTTTCTCTGGGAACACTGCACTGACAGCCACATCTTTCTCTAAGGGAAGATGGTTGGAGACACACCTGTCCTCAAGCAAACAGAATAAGGGAGAATGTCCAAGGATTACTTGGAAAGCTTGCTATGCTTCCTCTGGGTTTGAGCTCAGAGTGGACAGAATCTGATTTAAGCCCAGGAAATTGGAGCGCAAACAAGATGTGTTAGAGAGATAGGTTGGCAACTGAGCAGAGCTGTCTCTGCTGTCTCCGGAAAGTAACTTCTTTCTCTTGCCAGAAGTTCTAAGAGGCAAACCCCAGGGTCCAGAGAGGGATTAAATGTAGGAATGACCTGAAGCCATTTTATATCTTGGCAAAGAAGCTGGCTTATAAGAGGCAATGGGACTCCAGCAGAGAAAAATCTTCTCTCTAGAATGGACCTTCTGAGAACTGGGGCCCAGGTGGGGCATTGAGGAAGAGGAGTTCAAGGCGAAGCATAAAGCAGAGTTAGAGCTGGAAGGGAACAGCTGGGGACTTGCCAAATTTAGTTACCATTGCCTCCATGAGAGAAGGGCTTTGCTTAGACATCTTCCAGACAAAGGTAGCATGAAGTCAGATTTATAGCAACTCTCATTTATGTAACAAACTTCCCTACTACTTTTCTGCTTTTAACTCCCAATATTTCAATTCAAGAGGGGTTAGAAACCATAGCTAATGAGCAGGTACAAAAGTAGAAGAGGTATTCTGGACAAGGAAGAAGAGTGTCCTGCCCTCCAGATGGAGCTTCCCAGGTGGCGCTAGTGGTAAAGAATCCTCCTGCCAATGCAGGAGACACAAGAGACTCGGGTTTGATCCCTGGGTCAGGAAGATCCCCTGGAGGAGGATATAGCAACCTGCTCCAGTATTCTTGCCTCCATAGAGAGGCCTAGGGGCTACAGTCCATAAGGTCGCACAGAGTCAGATATGACTCGAACAACTTAGCACACATGCCCTCCAGGTGCAGGCAGCTCTCCTAAGACTGGCGGATGGGAGAGAATTTAACTCTAAATCAAGTTCAGAATTTTTCTAACTACCACTGATGGGCATCTGACTTTTGTTTTGAGACTGTTTTTTGAACCTAAGATGCATCTAGAGGCATCTATTTCTAAACAGCAAACACAGAAGTAAAGGGAGGTGTTGAAGACAGAATTTAATGGCCGGGGAAACTTCCCTGCTTCAAATACATTTTAAAGAAGGAGGGAAGATCAAAATAAAATTACTCTTCAGTTATACGTCATAAGCTGAGCATGGTAAAAATAGCAGGTGGAGTTCTCTTCATTTCATTTTGTATATCCTTGTGTAAGCTTGGACAGACCCTTCATATTAAACATACACAATTTTAGTAGCACCCATGGGGGCGCTGCCTACCTTTTGAGGGCACAAATCTGAGGAGGCTGCCATGGTTTACCCATGGTGTATCTGGATGCTAGATTAGTAAGAACATGTCAGTTTGGCTAGAATCAGAAGAAAGGCTTGGAAGAGAATTAGAAGTCATTTGGTCTTACCCATCTGATATCAGCATTGTCGCCATTATACATTGGAAAAAAAGAGAGCTGGTACCATTCTTGGACACAAATAAATATCAAGATGAAACTGACTTTTGTATGAGTACTCCTTGAAATAAATCAAAGGGATTTAATTTGTAAAAATCTTTTTTGCTCAAATCTCTATTTTACAAAGTCAGTACTCCTTTTGAATAGTGACTCATTTTTTTTTTTAGACCATGGAACATGACAGTCTTTTCTTCCACACTGATTGAATCATGCAATTACTTTATTTTTTCCTTAACTTTGTCACTTTCATTATCATGAATTAAGAAAATACTTATATCAAAATGATTTTTTATTTATGTCAATGTCCTAAGTTGCTTTAACAAGTATTTCTTACTGTAAAAACTTTCTTCCCAGTTATTATAGAATGAATGACCAAAAGATAATTTGGTTCATAAAAAGGTCAGGTCCACATTAAAAAATCACCTTTATCATTTTAATAAAATGAAAAACATGTATTAAGGAAACTTGCTGGATATCTCTGACTTAGTGTTCACTATGTTTTCTACTGTCCAGAATAAATTTTCAAAAATCTTAAAGTAATGTTTGCACTATTCATATTTGTATTACACTTTTTTCTTTGTAATTGTACTTCAAAATTAGTGTTATATTAAAGGTATATATATTTAAAATTCATGTAAAAAAAAGAGGCCAATCTGCAGCTGATCCTATTTAGTATTTAAGAGGTGCCCTACCTAAGCTGAATCAATGCTTACCAGTTGGTGAAAAGCACTTCCTATGATGCAGTTCATGATATGTCTTATTCACTAAAGATTTCTCAAGTCCATTTCTATTTCTCCATCTTTCCCACTGGCCCATCAGACTTTAAGAGCTGACCTGTCAAGGGGGATACTGTCATCTTGGCAGATGTCAGAAGAAAGTGAGAAGGGAGAACTAGCATCTCATACACCATTGGTCATGGAAATGAAGAGGGATCAAGGGAGTGGAGGTGAGGTTTACTGAGCACCTACACAATGACATGAAGCATGCAGGTGCTTTCATGATTGATCTGACTTTCTGTGAACAACAGTTCCTTGAAACTAGGTATTCTCACACCTACTTTAGACAGGAAACAAGAGAAGTGACTTGCTTAGCACTGTGAATTCAAGACAGAACCCAAATTCCTATACTTTCTGCAATCCAATACATCTTTCATTGATACTACATTTTAAAATACATTTTGAAATTGGCTTGTGACTTCTCTCATTCTTTTTAATCTCCAGAATCTAATCCCATATCAAAGCTGATAGTATTTTTAAATAAAGGAATTGTTGTTTATTTCCATTACTATATTTTTTGAGACTACATGGACTTCTGTTATTAGAATTGAATTTCAGGATAGATAATGTCATATATTCTTTCTCAGCACTGTATACCTTTCCATTATAGTGCACAACCATTGATTCCAATCAACTTTTTAAAAAACTCATTCCACATTTCCAATATTTTTAGACTTCTATTATCATTCACAAATATCCTCAGAACTGTGTTCCAATCTTATGTGTGTTTCGATATTATGATAACTTTCCCCTAGGGGTTTATTAACTTCCATGTTGCAGTATTCATTTTACCTATTTTCATTTCCTTGGACTAAGTCCAGAATAGCCTCTGGTCCTGTTGATTGCTTCACAAGCTATGTGAGGGAACATTTTTGCAATGCACTCGGAGACAAGCAACCATCTGATTCCATTTCTATGATCTATCAGTCATTGTCAGGGGATTGAAATCATATCACGTTGAGTACTTTTATTTCTCTAACACCTCCCCCTTCTTTTTCCTGTTCATTGCCTAGCTTTCTGTTATAGGAAAACATCTCTTGTTAGTATATGTTTTTATGAATTTGATTCTTTTTAGAAAAGTGGACTTTTCAAAGTGGAATGACTTCTTTTTTTTTTGACCAACTGAAACCTCAACTTAACTCCACAACAGTGTTCACCAAGTTTTTGACATGCCTCTGGGGATGTCAAGGGCTTCCCTTGTAGCTCAGTTGGAAAAGAATCTACCTGCAATGCAGGAGATACGGGTTCAATTCCTGGGTCAGGAAGATCCCCTGGAGAAGGAAATGGCAACCACTCCAGTATTCTTGCCTGGAGAATCCCATGGACAGAGGAGCTTGGCAGGCTATAGTGCAGGGGGTCACAAGAGTTGGACACTACTTAGTGACTAAGCTACTGCGGGTGGAGCTGCCAAAAGCTGGACTATCGGCTTCTAGGATAAAGTAATTCTCAGGGAAGAACTCTTCTTGAGGAAGTTCAGCGGCAAGAGATAAATTTCAAGTCAGAGAAGAAAATCCAAATATGGCAATGCTGCCTGTCATGTGAAAGGTTCAACAGGCTGGCTAGAGACATAAATTTGAGTCCTTAAGATGAGGAACATGAAAAAAGAAGACCAAGGGAAAATAAAATATGTAATCGCTCCACTTCCAAGAAAATCCAAATATGGCAATGCTGCCTGTCATGTGAAAGGTTCAACAGGCTGGCTAGAGACATAAATTTGAGTCCTTAAGATGAGGAACATGAAAAAAGAAGACAAAGGGAAAATAAAATATGTAATCGCTCCACTTCCAAGGGATAATAAGAACACAGGCTGTCAGCAGCACGGACATCAGTGGCTGTGGCGTCGACAGCCATGTGGTGAAGGAGAAGTCGTACTGTCTTAGGAGTGACACCGCTAGGGACCGTAGTACAGTGGAGCTGGCGGTAGTGGGTCTGATAACAGCAGTCACAGTGTCCTTTCAGAGCTCTCAGAACTGGATACTGGAAACAATGCCACACACACAGGCATCAGTGATGGCAGAGACTCTGATGGGCAGCAGTGAAACTGGAGGTGATGCCATTAGAATATTAAAAACCTTGAGAAAGGTAGAGCATTGGATATCCTGATTACCCAATGAGAGAGTACCTGGCAATTTCCAGAACTAGTTGGTAGCTTGAACAGAGAGGGTAAAATTACTGAAAAGCAGGTGGGGCAGAGTTAGAGAAGCCCTGTTTTGTAGGTTTATGGCCATTTTCTCAGCCCCAGGCTTATATGGTTTAAGAAACACAAGAGAGAATAAGAGTAACCACAACAAGAATAACACTTGGTTTCAGGGGCTGTTGCACTCCTCACAACAATACTTCGGGGTGATACTATTATTGCCCCCATTTTAGAGATGATACATTTGAGGAACTGAGGAATCAAATAACTTTTCCAACCAGATACAAAGCATAAGGCTTTCTTGAGGGTTAGTGAAATTCCTTTCAGAAAAACCACTGATTCAAGAAAAAAAAAAAAACGGATTCAAGATTGGAAAAGGAATATTAAATTTAAATAAGAAATATTGCATTTAATAACTAAAATATCTTTATTATAAAATAAGATTCTTTCTCCTCCTATTTATCTTAGCCTTCCAATTATTTTGCCTTTTTTTCCCCTTGAATTTCTGTTAGATTTTTCTTTTATTATTGTTGCTGCTGCCCTAGACCAGACCCTCATCACATCATGCCTGGACAATTATAATGATACCCCAATGAGATGCCATGACTCTTGTGTCTCATTTCTCTAGTTTATTTAATACTGCATTAGATAAATATTAATAAAACAGCAACCACATGTACCCTGTTCAGAAATATTTGTTGACTCTGTGTACGTGCATGCTAAGTCGCTACAGTCATGTCTGACTCTTTGTGACCCCAAGGACTGTAGCCTGCCAGGCTCCTCTGTCCATGGGATTCTCCAGGCAAGAATAATGAAGCGGGTTGCCATGCCCTCCTCCAGAGGATCTTCCTGACCCAGGGATTTAACATGCATCTCTTAAGTCTCCCACACTGGCCAACGGATTCTCTATCACTAGTGCCACCCAGAAAGCCCATTTGTTGACTCTATGTAGCTATAAAATAAACCCTATACATTTTAGCCCAAGTACAAGACTGTTCATGTATACATCTTCTCTATATGCTTAATTGGCTCAAAATACTCCCCCCACACTAACTGTCCCCAAACCTAGCCTTGGTACATTTCATCAGCTGGATTACAGAAATTATGGTCAGACTCCAGGACTTTTGCTCAAATCTTACATCTTTATAAAATGCCACTCAATTAGAGCCTCTTGACACTTACTATATATCTGTGTGAATTATAAAAAAAAGCCTCTCCTCTGGTCTGAAGCAGGCTGTGGTGAGGGCGGAGGGCTTGGTGAGTAGAGCTGGGTCAGATTTGCGCTGCCCCACCCCTACTCCACCTAGGCTTTTTGAGCAGAATACAAATGTCCTTCCACTAGTGGTGGCCCTGCCTATCGCTTCCCCTCCTTTTCAGGCAGGACTTATCCTGCCCCCAATTCCTAAGGCAGTGATTGCCGCCACAATTCATTAAGCAATTAATCATGTATTATTTGGCGACATCTCTTCAACTGCAATTTTTAAAATTCCTTTACCAATATTTTAATGTTTAATGTGTTACTGTCTTAACTCTTTAGAATATTCCCTCTTGAGGGCAGGATTAATATATTTCTTTGTGGTTCTCAAAATATACAACACAGTGTCTTACATTGTAGGAACTCAGACATGATGTTTGTTGATTTTACTTGAATTGTTTTTATGCAAATACACATAGCTAATTACAAATGAAGCATGAATTTGTTGGAATTAATGATCAACAATTGGCTGTCCATTTTTAGCTGAAAAGGGTTATATTTCCACCAACACAACCCCCCCAAATTGTAGTGATTATAATTCACCTTTATTTTTATGAATCTTCTAAATTTTGGTATATTGAACTATCCACAACTACAAATGGAGAGAATTATTCTTGTTCTTTGATTTACATTGAATGCCATATGGCCGTTCATTATAGTTAGGCTTTTCAACATAATTATTTTGCCAACAACTATTTATAAACTCAAAGTACTTCAGGGGAAACAAAGATGAAAACATTTCTGTCTCTGCCATCAATGAGATTTAATTCCGAGTGGGAGAAAACATTTATTAAAAAGTACAATGTTAGTAAAACAGATGCAAGTTTCATAAAAAGCAGTACCAAAAATGTGAATTAGGGGCTTAGAGAAGCCAAGGAGCTCTAGAATTTCCATTTGAACTGACCCTTGCAGTAGGGCAGACAGGTTAAGCACTCCAGCCAGAGGCAAGGTTTGGAAAAAGGTAAATTGAAAAAGTCTTCCTGGAATCACAAAAACTTTTTGTTTGGTGTGAAGTATCATTGTATACCACTTATACAATGCCATGTGTAGTCTCCAATTCCTACATCTCTAATTTATGAGGTCTGCCTGAAGTGGATTATCACAGAAATACCTATTTCAATGTTCAGCAATGATTCCTGCAGAATTAGAAGCATTATATGCTAGCTATATGTTTTCTAAAACTCATTATGCTTTAGAAGCAAAATCTCCAGATGGAAAGAGATGGCTATGACATCAATACTTCAGTTTCACTTAAGAGATTCCTTTTTAGTTTTTCTCACTTGAACCGAATTTTTCATCACCTTAGCCAGATTTTCTGCAATACTACTGGGAAAAAAATGTATTTTTCACTCACTTTAGCACAGCTAAAAGAGTCTGGAATTTTCTGAAGGAATGTTATTTCAAAAGTGTGTGAGTGGTATTTCTGCCTCTGGTTATAACAGACTACCTTGTATTAAAATAGCCCTCTCATGAGGTACAAATAGAAAAGTTGGAAGGGACTTTAAAAAAAATCTCTGATTGGAGGCAGTAATCTGCCAACTGGAAGGTAAGAGTTAGTGTCTAGTGTTCAACAACAAGAATGACAAATGGCCAAGAAGGAAAAAAGCAGGAGGCAATACCAAATTGCAGAAAACCAAGAGAAAACAAGAAATAAAATAGGAAGACTGACAGGCAATTTAGATAGTGAGAATTCAGGACATGGACTTTAATATGAATGTGATTATTACACCATGCC